GAATGGTACCTATATAAGATATCCCTCAAAATGCCACCTGTAAGAGAACATTGTCTTGCTCCCAGCGCAATATTTTTAAGAAAGGTCAATACCATCCTTTTTTAACCAAAGATGAGAAGGAATCCTCATAAAAAGTTTATGGAGCTGACTAGTAATGGAGATATGAAAGGACAGCTTTTGCTCAAGGAATCTAATGACTAAATAAAAAAATGAAGTGCTTGCTTGCTTGCAGTGGAGTTCATTACAGGGGAACCTGCTGAGGGGTGAGTTGAAGGAATTGTCTCAGATCTAAGTTTAAAACAAATAATCCAAAAGAATAAGATTAATATCTGAAACAGTAATCAACACTATTCTACAGGGTCCCATAAATTGCAATTGAAATTGAAGTTGCAAAACTACTAACTGTGGTGTGTGCTGAACTGGCTTGCTTGCAGTAGACATACTGGTAAACGATACACTAAGAAGAGTCAAAATAGCTTTTTTGGTAGAGGAACATCATGCTTCTGATGATTCAGTCAACATCACTATGCTATTGTGTAAAAGATCCTTGTTCTGCTCTGTCCTGAATATTGTGTGTGGGACCCCCTGTCTTACAAAAGGGCATAGTAAAAATAGAGAAGTATATTCTTAATCTTAGAAAAAATAGAAAAGCTGGAAATCAATAAAATTGTGACTATTTTGGCAAAGGTGAGATGAGAGTGGATATTCTCTGTTTTTATTAAAGCAATACCAAGGGGGGAACCCAATTGAACTATTTGGAAGCAGCTATAAAATCAAAACAAATCAAATAAACAGTTTAGTTGTGTAACTCATTGACACAAGAAGTTTTGAAAACCAAAAAGATAAATAGATGTAAAGAGTTGTACAAATTTGTGTAAGAAAGGTCCAGAAACAGCTATTAAAAACAGTGATGTGCACGTGGATTTCAGTTCAGAATATACCTAAAATCCAGGTCATTGGAATTTGGCAGCATATATGCTAAAATAATCCCTGGAAGTAGCATATTTAACTTCTTCCTAATTTTTCCTAAGCATCTGCTACTGATCCTGTAAGGTACAGGAGAGTGGACTAGGCAGATCTTTGATGTGGTGTATTTTTATGAATAGATGACAAAATTTAATTGTTTTTTTTTTTAACCAAAATAATTAAATAACAATTTGTTCAGTACTGGGATTGATACTGCTTTTTATCTTCCAAAAATAAAGTCTTATTGGAAAATTGACAAACTAGACTCACATGAAAGTATTTAAAATACAAGTATAGTAGATACATTGGCAGAGTAGACATTGTCTTTTACCTGTTTGTTAAAAAAAATATTGGTAAAGCCATATCCTAGCAGATAGATAGTGTTAATTATGTATTCCCTACTTTAACTGATGTAAAAGGTATTGCAAGAACACTGAGGACCTGGGTTCTGGCACTGTCCTACTGAAAGATAACTATCTCAGTTAGTGAGCAAGCCCTCTCTGGGGAGGAATAACTCCCTGTTCCACCTATGGGTATAACACACCACATATAACCTCCATATGAACCAGAGAGTGCGTTTTTTGGAGTACTTGTTCCTTGTGATGGGTAGTGGGACTTTGCAAGGTAGCACCTGGAAAGTCATTCCTGGGCAATTGGTTATGCTAACAGATATTGAGGTGTTGTGACTCACTCCTACCCTGCTTTCAGAGGGTAGGTTTTTTGAGCTTCTTTGGCAAAGCAGGCATACTCCCTGAGTGCGTTGAAGATCCAAAAACTGGAGATAGGCTATAGAACAAGAGGCTTCTGTTGCTACAATTAAATAATAAGTGCAAAGAAGTGCAAGGGACAGGGGGCGAGGGGAAAAGAAGCGGGGGGGCCGGCTGATGAAATCCAAGAAACCAGTCTTCCAAGACTACCCACCTCAGCAAAGCTGTTTTTCTTTTTATTCAATGTAATAGAAAACCAGGAAAATAAATAGACATAAGAATGCATTTGGATTCCAGTGAACTTGCCTTCTACATCACTCCAGAAACAAAATTCCCATTTATACATAGAATTTACAGGAAAGAAATTTGCTAAATCTGATCAAATGCTGTCATGATGAAATCCAGAAGGAAGAGGCTTTTACTGTGATTGTCAGAAATTCACATTTCCCATTTTTCACTATGGAACATAAGAATTGAGTTGAACATGCTTTCTATTTCCCACAACTAGCAATTTTCTGTCTTTGGAAAGTTTTAGAGGGAGGAGCTCAGAGGTGCTGTGGGAGGGACTAAAATTCATATTAAAGTTTTGGCATGAGAGGGAGAATTGTCAGAGTAGAAGGTTTCTTCTGAGGTTTTGCTTTTTTTTTTTTCCAATTTAGGATGATAAGTATTCATGTTCAGATTCTTCTAATAATTCTTTTTTGGAATTCTGATTGTCAGATTATTCCCAGGATTGAAGAATGTGGACTTTCATGTTCTCAGGTAATCTCTTGCTTGTTCCTATTTGCTGTCTGTTAATATAGTAGTTGTATGCTGCCAAAATAATTGTGAGAAAAGCAAGAAAGCAAAAATAGAAAAATATTTCATCTGTCCTGAACATTGACTTTATATTCCTGTCATTCTGAATTAAGTGTACAAATGGCAAAGATGACTGTTAAGGAGGGAGTAAGTAAGTGCATCTCACACTATTTCCAACTGCTGTTGTTAGTACTTTTTTAAATCTGTCTTTTGTATTTGAAAAAAAAAATATTTAGTTCATATTCATTGCTTTGGAGAGTCAGTTTTTACAAGAGCAGTGGTGCAAAGAGATGAGGGAGGGAGGTACGGGAGGTTTCAGAAATTGCTAATTATGTTAGGAATATACAAAACACTGGCTTCCCTGTGAATAAATGAATTAAGCTTGAGAAAGAGCAAAACCTGTTTTTCATTTTGTGGGATGAATGTAACTGCAGCATTAAATTTAATGACATATGTATGTCCATAAAAGTGGAGTGTGAACTATACCATCTCTTTAACAGCTTTGAATTTTGCATGTTTGCAAATATCCCCACAAAGGGGCAGTATGGAGATACTCTGCTTCTGTTGGCATTCTGAAATTCTAAGACTAGAGTAAATTGAAAGATAAATTTAAGAAAGGACAAAATAATAGGGCATCTGACTTTCAGTCTCAATAGAGGATGATAACTATGTACTTGCTACAGAGAAGTGGAGTTGATGGCATGAAAGAATTTGGCTGTCGGGACAGACTTCTGCTTGAAGATTTCAGTGTTTAGGACAGGCAATGAGACATACTAAAGGTTGTCTAAATGTGGTGGTACTGCCCAGATGTTACAGCATGTTACAGCAATTTATTCTATATTTTATATGTGTGTCCTAGAAAATATAATGAATAAAGATGCTTATAAAATACTTGATTGAGGGAAAAAACCATCCTCTATATTTAAAGTTGTTTAATACTCTGACATTCAAATTCTGTAGTCTGTATCCACTTAGATAATGTTTTTAGAACAATAAAATATATTCATAAGAGATTAATCTCTAGAGGTACCTGAGCACTTTTCAAGAATTTTTATGTACTTATGTTTATGAATGCAAACACATGTATTTTAAATGCTTAATGCTCCTTAGCCTGCTTGAATGAAAGTTTAAAGTAGAAATGATTTACCATTCTAATTTATCCCTCTAAAGAGTGTATGACTATCAGACTTAGCATGTAAAAAGCAATATCAACCTTTTTCAGTGGTATTCAGTCTAGGGAATAGGCTTTACCTCTGGGGACCTTAAAGGGCACCTTTCTCTGTCATATTTTAGGTATGTATGTTAAGAAGGCTGATTCACTAGATGCCTAAGATATGGACAGAACTCTGAGGTTTGGTAGACTGGATCCCTTTTTTTGCCTTCACGAGTTTGTCTTACAACTTTTCCAATACTGAAGGCTGGACAGCTGACAAAGGTGTATTTTTTTTTTAATTCATGGGGAAAGTACATTGTTTCCAGTATAATGGAATCAATCAATCATTTGTGATGTTAGAGATAGGATTCAGTTTATGTTCTCTATGTAATGTTTCTGCTAGTTGTATTCAGTAGAATCTTGAATGTATTAATGACTTTTTAAGACAAAAATGTTTTCTCACTGGGAACAATAATGATCTCAACAGGAAAAATTACTGCCAGCATAGCATTTTCGATCCAGTGCAAAGCATTTTAGCTACATGAACTTTAGAGTCTTATGAGTAGCTTGTTAGACAAAGCTCCTTCTTCCTTTTTCTTTGGAAGTAACTTCAATTTCCCTACATAATGTACTGCAATTTGTGGCCTCAATCCCATTCCTACTTGAGTTACTTTAAAAGGGAGCAGTTTGTCCTCTCCATAGTTTATAACTCAATGGTCTTTATAGGGGCACTAACCAGGGGTTACACTTTGCCTTTGTCTATGTGCAATGTATGTGTGCTGCTTTCTCCTGTAGCACATCAGATCACAAAGTAGAGTGTCAATGCTGGTTTTTCTAGCAATTTGCTTAATGTGATAAGGGGATATTCTCATTTTAAAACTATCAGAAGTTTTCTGTAGCTACTATTGCTACAAGTGAGTATTATAGAAAATTGTTTTTTTTCTTTATGGTGTTTTCCCATAAGTTTGTATAGCCGATTCCTCTTCTGCAGAGTCAACCACCCTGAGGTTGTGTGGTTCTTCATAAAGCAGTAGGGGAATAAAAAGCAATTAATTTGCATTTTTCTGCATTTTTCAAACTCTGGGTATTGTCAGAAAGTTTTGGGTGGGTTTTATAAGGTTTAAGTTTGACCAGCAGACTGCTATTTAAGGTGGCTATGTCCCTTGAATATTTATAAGCAGTTTTGACCTTGGGTACTCCATATTAGAGTAAAGCGTTGGTTGTACTCAAGACGGAAATAGTGACATAACTGTTTTGAGGTATGTGACTTAAAAACCCTTCACACTGAACTGTTTAGATTTTCGATCTTATTACAACTTTGTGAATCATTCTTAGTTTACCGGGAGTATTCAGCAAGACATACTTGCATTGCCTTGTATAAGGCAATATCCAGGTTTCATTACTGTACCACAAACTGTACTTCTGTTCAGTACAGGGAAGGAAAAAAACAAAAGAACATTGGGTGTTTATGCAAGTGTTACATGAAAATTTGAACAGCATGAAAATATACAATTGTGGGATGAGTGATGGCAAAGGAACAACCAGACTTTTATTATGTATTATGATTTATTTCTCCTTCCTTAATTTAATCTCATGGCTTTAAAGCTCACGTGATATTCTGGTATTCAAAGGTTAAATACAATGGGCTTGGTCTCCAAGCCTCACCCAATAGCAAACACAGTTATCAACCAAGTTTCACTGTAAAAGCATAGGGGAATCCCAGCCTGCAATTGAAATTGTGTTTGTGCCCTACTCATTTTACAATCCACATTGTTTGCAGGCTGTACACAAAGAAACAGGCTTATGCCAAATTTGACTCAACAGCTGGTAAAGATCAAGAACACTACATTTAAAATAAAAAAAACCTCTCCAGAAAACTATGAAATAGTATTTGTATTGTGTGCCATTACATCTAGTAACGTTTCCAAAGTTCATGGATAAAGAAGGAAACCCTAAACTGAATCTGGGATTTCCCTGCAATTATAAAGGTTATTGGCAGCAAATTCTTGATATAGCTGCTGCCTGTTCGTGCTATTCATAGTTGAAGTATGTGGTGTTTCTTTACTGGATATTTATGCCACGGATAAGTGCATTCTTGCTGAATACTACACACTGCAAAACCAGTGATATAATACGGCCCTTAGGACACTAACTCAGCTGACATAAATTGGCATTCTTTGTTCATTACTAGAGTAAGCAATTTGTATTTTAAAAGTGATCCCAAGCCTCTAAAAAATGGACATGACAATCAAGGTGACATAGTTCAGTTGTTCTCTAAAGTTTGTTTGAAAAACTAGTTTTAGACATGGAAAATGTCTAAAGAGGCTGATCAGAGACCTGGCTTCCTCAGAGTCAGTGAGAGAGAGAGATACAGTGTGAAGTCCCAACATGGGAAGATGATTCACCACAGACATTTTTGTCTATGTATCGATATACCTGGTGACTGGAGGAGATGCTAATATTTGCTGAGATGCAGTACAATCCATGAGAGCATGCCCTAGATAGATAGCCTGGGTTTTGCATCCCTGCCTGTCATTGACTCGCTTGTGTGGCCCTATTGAAGTAATTTCCTTTCTCCAGTTTTCACAAGTACAAAATATTGCTGACCTTCCTGTGTGATGTGTCTTAATGATGTTTTTTAATTAAGTGCTTTGAATGCTATAATTAAGTGTTGAGTCCTCATCAGTCAAATCAGTCATACTTAAGGGGCTCGGTTGTGTTGAGTCACTGTATTAGAGTGATATTAACTTATTTGCTTAGATATCCCTGCTTGCCTTCTCTGCCGGTAGTCAGGAGAGCTGCAGTTTAGCAAGTTTAGGTGACTTCTGTCTTGGACTGTGCTTTACATTTGCTCTTAGGATCAAAAATAGCTTGGCAATAACAAGAGACACTTAGCTTCCAGGTTTCCTGCTGCATTCTATGCCACTGGTTGGTTGCCATCCCATTTCCTCACCCCCTGAGAAGAAAACAGCCAGTGACAGGTACAGGCAGGGAGTTACAAAACTCTCCAGTGTTCCTCATTATTAGAGCACCTACCACCACTTCTTTTGGGAGAGGTGGAGATGGAGAAAGCTCTGCAATTCAGAACTTGCAAAAAAAAGCAACGGTAGCTCTTTTTTTTTTTTTTTTTTCTTCCTTACTTCTCCCATCCTCAGGAGCTCTGGAAAAAGGTTACAAGGTGTGGAAAGAGATAAGCCACTGGAGTAGCAAGAGTAGACGCACTACAGTCGGTCATGAAAGCTGGGGGCACAAAATTAACAGATGTTGGAATTGGACTTGACAAGGTGTCCTGAAACTGAAATACAAGGCAGTGCTAGAAGCTTCACCACCATGAGACATCAACATAAGTGTGTGCAATCAGTACACATAGCAGGAGGTAGATAACTAAAAGAAAAAAAGAGGGATCTATATTAAAGTAAGCTTAGCAGGAGATAGGAGTAGCTAACCTTTATTATTGGCAGCAAATTTTAGCTCACAAATCTCTCTCAGCCCTCATCTTAGGGAGGTAAGATATTGTTCAGCTCCATTTGGACCCAAAGTTCAGTGGTGAATATTGAGATTTGGGAGTAGGTGCTTTCCATGGCTACAGAATATTGCTGTCTGACTGACTGCTTTGCAGTTGGAAAGCTACTTGTAATTTGATCAAATCTAGTCAGGACAAATTTTTTAGGAGCGGTAATAGCTTTAACAAGGCCATGTGGTGTGACGTAGCTGGAATTCTTGCAGTAAAGGTCTAGGATTAGCTTAATTTATACATTTGCTGGAGCTGGCACTGCTGTACCTGTTACTTTGTCATGTTTGTTTATACTGT